ACGCATCGAGTGCTATAACACTAACTGATGAGCTGATAGCTAATAACTTGCTCATAATAATAGTGTTAGTATTATTAGCTTTGCGACGTCTTCTCCCCATCACATGGCGGCCGTATGCTTGCCGCGTATAATGTGGTGCAAATGCAGCTGCAGGCCACGTGGAACGTTATCAGCTAATTAAATATCAGGAGTGCATAATATAAATTATGCACTATCTATCGATCTTATTATCATATATACACTCCTGAATAATGGTAAATACACACAAATGTGTTTACTACAAAGTCTCATATTTCTTCTACTCGATCTTTGCCCCTATTAACTGTAATTTCCTGTAAAGTGCCATTCCAGAAGCTCTTCTCTGCAGACACAATCTGCCGCACTGCACAGCCGCTTCGCACAAACAAAGTTAAGGAGTTTTTTGTGTTTTTTCTTTGTTTCTTTCGTTGTGATTTTCCTCTATAAAATCTGTATAATTTTGTCGTTTGTGCAACAGCGGCGTGGCGTGCGTGTACGTGTGTGTTGGCAGAGGAGCGTTTTCAACGGCCATTTACCCGAAAGTTATTACTAATATTGAGGCGAAAAAAGAGGGTAGACAGAAACCATTAAGACTGGTAGTAACATACATTATGTAGTTAGTACATATACCCGCCGCTCACACGGGGTGGCGTCCTTACTGGCGCTGCTACGGAGCGAACGGAAAAATGGGGCCCAGAGCGCGCCAAGGTCGCCATAAGCGTGGTATAAGGCGTGGTATAAAAGAATAAAGGTAGAATGGGCGGTGCAGGGTGGAGAACGTAATATGTAGAGATAAAAAAAGAAAAGAGGGAGAAGAGGAGAAAACGAGAAGGAAAGAAAGAGGAGGAGAAGGAGGGAAAGAAAAAAAGATAGAAATGAGGAAGAAGGAGGAGAAGTAGAAAAAAGGAGAATAAGATAGAAGAAGAGAAAGTAGGGTAAAAATGTGAGAAGGAAGTGTAAACGCCAGACATCGTGGTGTTGGTCGCCGTGATCATGCCAATGAACTTCGCCGAGTGCACGGCGTTGTTTTTGAGCATGTTTCAAAAACGAAACGCCAAGTTCGGCGACTGACCATGAACGCGTAAGAACGGCGGTGTGGTTCGCGTTTTGTGCGACCTTGTACATTTCTGGTGCGCCGTAAGCGGTCGCGGAATCGGTCGCGGATGGTTCGCCGCTCGCGGTGTGACCGGGGGTGATTAGTAAATAACGTGTTTATTTACCATCAATATTATCAGGAGGGAAATAATAGATAATAGATCATATATAGAATAATCTATTATGTATTCAATTTGTTATTATTATTATGGAATCGTTCCCAAGTTGTCTGCGAAATCAGCCTCCCGTGAACGTCATAGCACATCGTAATTGGCTGGCTACGCGAGTACATGAATTACTTTAGCATAGCTTCCGGAGTAATTTTTCGCAGGTTGCCAAGAATATGTAAAATGCGCTGGGGGATATGCAGGGGCATAGCAGAGAATGCCGCCATATGGGAATGCTATAGTGAAATAGAACGTCGCAGACTAATGTCGAGAAGCCAGCGTACGCTATTACGTTAAGGTATAATCTGGCGATCGGACTAATATTGTAGAAAATATCTAGTGTCTAGAAGCGCCTATACTGGCAGCTTAATCAGTCATACCATTGCACGTGAATAAACAATTAGAGTCCCTATTTGGCCAAAGGTGAAAGTCAGGGGCTGCTTTTCGCCTGCACATACTGTATTCCATTTCTGCGAACGTATACGTAGAGTTATAAATGTGATCATCAGCGTTATAGTGGGGGCAGCCAATGAATGATCATAGTGCATTTTGATATTATGAGTTCCATTTATTATTAGCCTCGCGCCGCCAGCGAAAATTTTTTTCCCCAAACGGTATAACATAGCGAAGGATTTACGCTCTTTGATTGGTTTGATTGGTTCATGCTGCTCCTGATTGGTTCAAAAACAGGCCTGCTTTGCTTATTTAGCATCTGTCATGTACTGTTTCTTATATATCCTGTGTGGCTGGTGGATAGAACACCCGTCCGTTACTTCTGAAAGTCGTTGTTCGAATCGTTTTGGTTTTTTAATAATTTTTTTGTTTTCTGCTAATTTTTCCTATCTTATCCATTTAACATTTGTTTTCTAAATTACCGAAATATTGCATGATTGATTTACAACAATTAAAATATTTTAAATGACAAAACTTTTTTAAATAATCTAGATTCTATTATTAGTGTTAATTAAATTTAAATTCAGGCGTTAGGGTTAGGTTAGGGTTAGGGTTAGGGTTGGGTTAATTATTGCTAAAATAATTGCAATTCTTCGCTATGTTAAATGGCGTTTGTCTCTGTCAACTGCAAAAGCAAATTCGGAAGCAGCCAATCAGAGGCGCTAAATTCTTCGCTATGTTAACCGTTTGAAAAAAATTTCGCCGCCCGCCAAGGGGTTGCAGAGTTTATGTATTTCACCGGCCGTGTGTTTTGACTGTTTGTTTGTGGTTTGTTTTGTGTACAGCTTAAACTGAAAAAGGTTATGGAACGGATTGTCATCAAATTTTCTAGGATATGGTAAGAAATCGCCTAACTTAGAATGTGAACTGAGATTTTCGTGTGATCCGGATCGCATAATTAATTTAATTAATTATATTTTAGGATAGGTCAGAAAATGGGTAACTTAGAATTGATTACATTTTGTGTGGTGGATCCCGTCCAGATTAATTAATAATAACAATTTTCAGGATAGGTCAGAATGGGGTAATCTTAAGAATTGATTACATTTTTGGTGTGATCGGATCCAATTAATTAAATGTTTCATCTAATTAATTAATTAACTAAATTTTTTGCACAGCTGAGACACATTCAGCTGGCCTTGGTCGAGGTCTGTGCCTCTCCGATGCTCTAAAGTTGATTTCAAGAGAGCCGACTGAAATTACATATACGCCATATTTTTCGCTATAGCAATATTTTCGCGAATTCACTTGACGGAAAATTTTGCGATGGTTAATTTGCGCGTCGGTGCAATTTATGAATTTATTCGTATTTATTCGGTATGAATTAATTCGCGTGTTGTTATTTTTCGGGAATAGGGACGCATTTTGCGGAATTCGCGAAATATACAGCGTAGGGGCCTTACAGTATATCAATGTGAGAGATATGAGATTGTTTTAATTAGTCTTTTTTCGTGTAGTGTAGTCCTGGACGGTCCTATTTATACTACTGACGTATCCAAATTAGTTGATCGATTTTGCTTGAGCGATGACGAAGAAAAACTAGGTATACATAATTGATAGGTGATATTCATGTTAGCATTTCTGGTTGTCCGCGTTATGTCGCATAAAATTGATTACATGCTCTTGTGATGTCAAACAACTATATAGTATATAACTATAGTATAACAAATACTAAGCAGTATGTAATAGTGAATCTCTCG